CACCCATCAACCTAGCTGCCATCACCGCTCACCCAAATCACTTTAAACCCATCTACAAATATCCTCACCCACCTCCACAACCACCCACGTCCCACCCTAAACTACCTAATTTTCACCCGAAAATGTGTACCCTCCCCCAAAAACAAATAGAGAGGAGAGAAGAGGGTAGGTAGTAGTCCCCCCCCCTCCCCACACACCCTTTTTCCCCCAATTGAAAACCCTAGATATAAGGTAAACAAAAAATCAACAAGTTGTTCTTCGCAGTAATTCGAGCAAACTAATGGAGTTTTTCCCTTCTATTGAAAATATCAAGGGTTGTTAAGAAGAATAGAGGAGTGAGAAAGTCTAATTGGAAGAGGAAAAGGGTAAAAAAGAAAGTAAAGGGATTTATTCGGCGGGTTTAAAGTGATTAGGTAGGTGGTGATGGAGGCCATGTTGACGGATGGTGGTGTCGGCGGCTGAGAGGTGGTTCTAAGGGCAGCTAGGTGGTGATGTTGGTGGTTGGGGTTGGGTTTAGGTTTTGGTGGTTTTGAGGAGGGAGGAGTTGAGCACGTGACCCACACGTGAGGGTCAACGCCGAAAAACAAGGTCAAAGCCCTGAAACCAGGTGAAGGTATTATTTCGCAAAAAAAATTTGGTTTTAGGTGTGTTTGTACAAGAAAATTTTTATAAGGTGTTTTTTCACAAAAAAGTTGTTATAAAAGGCGGTTTCTGACAAAAAAAAAAAAAGTAGTTGTTCACAAAACAACTTATGGAAAATTTGCATAATATTGCAGTCATTTAAAGTTCGTATTTTGCAAATTGCAGAGATTTAAAAAAAATTGCAAATTGCAGTCCAAATGTCCCTATAAATTGTAAATTGCAGCCCGATTCAACTTTTATATCGGTTTACATGTCGAAAAAAATCTTCGGTTAAGGTTTTAGGGGTTATTTTATTCCATAGGGATCAGAATTAAGCTCGGAAATAACGTAAGTGTCTCATTTTTAAAGTTTTCCACAAATCGATACATTTTTGTTACGCAAAAAGAGGCACCTGCGTTATTTTTTTGCTAATTTAGAGCTTAATTCGAACCCCTAAGAACTAAAATGGCCCCTAAAACTTTAACCGAAATTTTTTTGACTTGTAAACCGATGAAAAAGTTGAATCGGGCTGCAATTTAAAATTTATACGAACTTTTAGGCTGCAATTTGCAATTCTTTTTTTACATGGCTGCAATTTGCAAAACACGAACTTTAAATGACTGCAATTTACATATTTTCCACAACTTATCTTTAGGATAGTTTTTCACAAAATTTCCTTATCAAAATTACTACTCTAGAAAGTTCTAATATCTCCCTAAGTACAATATCCAGCTATTAAAGGAAAACAACACGTTGATCAACTGTTGAATTTCATATTCATTTTATTATTGTCTCTTGTGCTCCACCAAATTAAGGTTAAACCCATTAGTGGCTCAAATTCGAAGTGTATATATCAATTGTAAGTACAAGTTGTTGGATACTACAATTGATGGTTCTTGCACTATCAAGGGTAATGGTTAAGTCTTGGTGTTTAAATTCTTTAAACACATTCTTCTCTTCCGCTCCTTTCGCCATAGTACTCCCACTGATTTTCATTTTTATTCCTTCTTTTGAATTATAATCATTCTTTTGTTAGGTTTTTGTCTTAGTAATTGATTACAGAAAGACGACCATTCGTCGTTGACTTATTGCCTAAATCTAAGGAACATATTTAATCTTCTTAGCTGAAATTTTATATTTTATTTACATACTGGGTAGAAACAAGGGATCTAAATTAAAGTACACTTTGGTGTACGACTTATAGTTGTCAAAAGCACACCTTACCCGGCCAATATATAACCGATTCGAAAAATATCCGATTCAGATTCCGTGAATACAATAATTTAATACGAGTCAACTTCAAAAATTGATCCGAACCGAGCTGACCTCACCAAACCGGAAACAATCATCTGAATTGACATATCTACGACGGTACAAATTGCTCAGTTTGTATGAACTATATTCTGTGTGCCGTAATGCTAGCTCATGTAAATAGCGGACACATCTTTTGTATTCACTCGAATACACTTGGAGTGAGCAAAACAGATTATTGTTAAAAATTTTGGAATCGGAAAATATCTTTCTAAATGGTTTTGATTCCATTTTCAGGAACCTTAATTTTGTTGTTCACCCTAAAAACACGCTCATAAGTATAATAGAATGCTCATGTAAAACAAAAATGTAGTAGAAACTGTTTTGGTCAGGATCCGACAACCCAAATCCGAGGTCCAAAAGTCCGAGCCTGAAACCCGTGAAGCTCCAATCGTCCAGATGAGAACCTACACAAAGAGCAGAGATTAGCTAACCCCGGAGTGGATCCAGGGATAACCACTCCGATGACAAAGTGAGAAAGTGTTTAAGATGATAAGAAGAGAGAGAAAGTAAGAGAGAGGGAGAGAGAGAGAGAGAGTAATAATGCTACCTTGATTATTTATAGCCCTTCCAGATGACAAGTGACTGCATGACATACAAACTATCCCACGCCAAGTATCAAATTGCTGCTGCCAGGTGCCAATCGGCGACAAAGCCGACATGTCGGCTTTCTGCAGAACTGCCGATATGTTTGATAGTTGCTGAGGATCCATACTCGTTTAAGATATCGACCTTGCATATGATATCGGTCCGTTTTCCATACCTCCCCATACAACTAGCCCCCCAAGTGAGGACGTTAAATCGAAAATTAATGTTCTCACTTTATTTGTAACCAAAATCTGTTTTATATTCGTTTCTTGCACTATGTCGAGCTCTTTTTTCCTTTTTTTTGGTGAACTTTGATATATAGGATGACTTCTTGTAAAATTTTGTCAACATATTATTTCTAAGTCTGTTGGTTGTATGTTTGTACCGCTATATTTTGTAGCAAAAAAACTCCGTTCCCCCCCCCCCCAAGTGACCTTGTATGCCGACAGCAGACAAGGTCTACTTGATAAAATAATTGGGAGCGAAAAAACTCCGTTTTTCCCCCAAGTGACCTTGTATGCCGACAGTAGACAATGTCTACTTGATTAAATATTTGGGAGCGAAAAAACTATGTTTTCCCCCAAAGTGACCTTGTATACTGACAGCAGACAAGGTCTACTTGATAAAATAATTGGGAGCGAAAAAAACTGCGTTTTCTTCCCCAAGTGGCCTTGTATGTCGACAACAGATAATGTCTACTTGATAAAATAATTGGGAGCGAAAAAAACTCCATTTTCCTTTCCAAGTGACCTTGTATGCCGATAGCAGACAAGGTTGACTCATTTGGTAACTACCCACTGTAACTTGGAAAGCGAATCGTTCGTGTTATAACCGCTCAAACTAATGAGCGAGAAAATGATGAGTTATTTTGACACGTGTCATCTATCTAACATTTTATTTTTGAAATTGCAAAATTACCCTAGCCGTTGGATTTCTGACATTGTTGTCACATCAAACGTCACCTTTTAAAAACCCCTTTTCACTCCATTCTTCTTTCATTCTCACTTCCATTGCAAAAGCGAATTTGTGAGAGATTTTTGGCATCCGCGTAGCGATCGTCGTTCTTTGGAAGCAGTTACCTATCTTGCAACTATTGAATTTTGAAGCGCAACCGAGCTTTCGTCATCCTTCACTGTGGGCGAATAGTTTAAGGCATTTACAAACTCTAAATTTAAATTTTCATGTTTTTGACTATTTTTCAATTTTAGTTCTTAGGTTGACATATTAAATGTCTGGTAGTAGTATTGAGGAAGAACAACCTACCCTTAGCACTATTAGGCGCTATCTTATAAGATAATCTTTGGGGAAAGATCTTGGCTGAAATAAAGGAATTGCTTCTTCTCTTTCTGATAATATTGACGACCCATTTCAGCTGTTATATGCGGAAGAACAAAGAGAGGCTTTTACGTGGCCACCCCATTTGACAGACCATCTGGATTAATCTGCCATGTTGCTGCCCAACAAATGCATGACCTAATGAAGGTATATATTTAAGTGTTATTCTACCATTCATAATTTCTCAGCCTTTTTGCCCTTTTCTTTTTCACTTATTATTTATTTGATGAACAGGCCGTCGCTTTTGGGACATAGCTGGTTGAGATGTACAAATACTACCAGGAGCAACATCTCCTAGGATCCTCAAACCAGGAGTCTCTGGAAACGGCATTGAAAAATGCCGAGGAAGCTCTTGACGGCATCAAAGTGATAAAGGCCAGGGATGATGAGGAGCGGAAGACTTTACGGGAGAAGGTTGGTAAGGTCACCAACCTTAAAGCGGAGGTGAAACTCCTCAAGACCCAGTTATCTGAAAAGAGCACAGCGGCTGACCAACTTCTTGTTGTGCAAAATGAGCTCTCCTATGCCAAAAATACTATCAGCACTTTTGAGGCTAAGATCCAAAAAATAGAAGCTGATAAACCAAGTATTCGTCAAAGAGCAGTCGACCGCTACTTAACCTCCAAAGTGTTTTGTACCAAGCTTCAAGACCGCTTTGATGGGGGATAGACCGCTGCCCAGAGATGTGTAGTCCAGGCTGCCGGCTGGAAGAAAGATGACTGGGCCAAGGTTGAGAAGGCTTTTGATAATGAAGCCCACAAGATTCCTTCTGGCTTTGAACAACAAAAATTTTCTAATGAAGATCTTCTCAATCTCGATCCTACTCCTAATGACGACCCTTCAGATCGCAGCATTGTGAATTATCCCGAGCCTGAAAATTTACAAGCTTGAAGGGGCAGGCAGTCATCACTGACATCATCCTGCGGTTCTTGTGTAATGGGACCTTATCTGCAATGATTTTAAGCTTTGAACTTTTGTTTTTTGTGTAGCTATTTTTTGACAATGTTGTTTTATCTACATGTACCCTTTTTTGTGGTGATGCCTGTCGATTGTCATTCGTAATGTTTCTTTTCGCAAAAAAATTACCTTCTCTGTCTATATGTCATACATTTACCTTGTTTTACTTTGTTTTTTACTAAGCATTTTGCAACAATTTCTATGCTTATATTTGCAATTTAATAACATTTTCTAATAAATAACAATCATATCGGATTCATCAAAGTAAAAATTTTGTTGTTGCAGTTATATTAGCTTCATAAATAATAATTATAGCAATTGCCTTATCGGCTTTGTAATTAACAATTGTCAATAGTTATTATATATCAGATTACTTTTATATATATCAGATTTACTTATAGGTATCTCTATCTCTTGCCCCCCCTAGTGCATGTATCTGTGCCACAGATATGTGCACTAGGTATCTTATCCATGGAGCTTCTAATTCATTTTGCTTTATTTATAATTGTTGTTTTAGAGTATAATGTCGGTCACTTACTGCACTATTTTCTTAGTCAGTTAAGTACCCTTCTCGGCGATTGCTATCACAGCAATGCCTCAAGTCGGCATATACTATGAGTTGTTTTTCCGGTATTATATTTTGAATCAGCAACCTCGTGAGTTAATGAATGCAACTGATCGGGTTGTAAGTGCATTAAATTCACCGAAGTGATTTTAAGCTGTCCATCCCACTTAACGATGGTCTGTGAAGTGGAGGATGCCTGTTTCATACGCAATAAATGATAATTTTCTTTCATTCAATTCATCATCACTGATATCGTCTACGTATTTATACATCAATATCAGTTACATAATTAACAAAAGCAAATTACATTATCCTTTTAGACATAATACTTCTTAAGCACTGTTGCATTCCAGACATTCTTCAATGGTTTTCCGTCCATTGTTTCTAAGTAAAACAACCCATGCATCACCATATCTCTTATCCGATATGGTCATTCCCAGTTTGTTGTTAACTTTCCATCCTCATTTTCCTTTCATGTTACCGTTGTTCTACGCAACACCAAATCTCTTGTACTCAGAAGGTGATGGATGAATCTTTTTTTGTATGCCCTTAACATTCTGTCCTTGTAAACTGCTGATTTAACTGCCGCTTGCTCTTGCAACTCTGGTAGGAAATCTAGTTGTTGCCTTAGTAGCAAATCGTTCTGTTCTTCACAAAAATGCTAAATCCTGAATGTCGGCAATCCTACTTCTGCCGGTACTACTGCTTCCGTCCCAAAGACTAAGCTGAAGGGGAATTCGCATGTTACTTCTATGACCGTTGTCCAGTTTGCCCATAATATTTCAGGTACAAGATCAATCCATAACCCTTTTGCATCTTCTATTTTCTGTTTTATTGACGTTATGATTTGGTTATTTGCTGCCACAACCTAGCCGTTTGACTATGGATGACATACTGTTGCATCTGCAAATTTAACCTTGTACATAGCCAAGAGATCTTTTACTGGCTTGCAGTCAATCTGTGATTGGTGATAAAAAACCATTGTTGTTGGCAATCCAAACCTTCTGAAAATATTCTTCCAAATAAAATTCTTCACTTCAAACGCTGATATCTTCGATACTACTTCAGCCTCTATCCACTTTGTGAAATAGTCTATGCCGACTAGGAGGAATTTCCTTCCCCTTGTTGCCGATGGGAAGGGTCCTACTATATCCATCCCCCATTGTGCAAAGGGAACTGGATTAAGTATCGGCATTAAGTCATTTGGGGGTAGATTGACAGCTGGAGCAAATTTCTAACATTTCTGACATTTCTTCACATATTGAGGAGCATCATCATTCATTGTCGGCAATAATACCCCCTTTTCATCGCTTATCTAGATAATTCTTGGACGCCGAGATGATTTCCACAAGTTCCCTCATGTATTTCCTCAATGAGTCTTCCAGACTCATAGTCTGTTATACGTCTTTGTAACGGCAATGAGAATCCCCTCTTGTATAACTATCCCTGGTAGGGCTGTGCATCGATCCAAAACCGGACCCGGACCGGAACCCGGAATCGAATTTTTTTTGGGACCAAGACCGGACCGGAATCAACCGGTCCGGGTTTCGATCCAGACCTGTTGATTCCGGTCTGGTCCGGTTTTGCATTATTTTTTTATTTTCCTTTTTCATTTTAGTATCTTAATATATACATACATTTTTAATGTTTTGTTTTTATTTGCGTGCTTTCCTATTTTGCACCTAGAATTTATAAATTACAAGTTTTGTACCTAAATGTTTTAGAAATTTAAAAATATAATTTAAAATTTTCACTAAAAAAATTACAAAAATACACTTTCCGGTCTCAACCGGAATACTTCGGTTTTTACCCGGACCGGACCGGAATCCTCAATTCGTGAGGACCAAAGACCGGGCCGAAATCAATCGGTCCGGTCCAATTTCATTCCGGTCTCGGTTGGTTTTCCGGTCCAGGTCCATTTCTGCACACCCCTAGTCCCTGGTACATGATGAACTCTACACTATCCTTTATCAGCCTTTTGGATTCTCCTTTATCAACTGGTAATGCTCCGTGAAGGAGATATGCCAGTATTTTATCGTACCATTCGCTGCCATTATCAACACAAAGATCTTGCTCTGATGTCTCATCTATACTTCTCTGCTTCAAGACCTCAAACATGACTGTTCTTTCTAGGTCATTAAAGCTTGAGCTGGCTAAACTTGCTAAAGCATCATTGTAGACACCCATTTGTGTCTCCCCAAAACCAACTCCGGTGATGAATAACTTTCACGTCAAATCATAATCGAATGAAGTGAAAGTGTGGAAAGTTTAGTGTTGCGGATAGTTTTAAGTTCTTTTATTTTCACTCTGTTTTTAAAAACTTATTTTAAGAAAACAACCAATCCAGTTTGTTTGGTCCATAGTAAGGGTCCAATAATAGTGTAGTTGGATGGGGTTTGAAAAGATCTTTCCAATGATATATTATAAGCTCAATTCTGATGAATAATGAGGAAGTTATGGCCAAATTACTAAACAGGGCCCAGTTTGAGCCTTATATGCGGCCCAATGATCTAGAGGAAGGCCTAATATGGATTTATCATTCCTAATGTAATTAGGAATGGTTTTAGTTTTCTAGATTCTTCTAGAAGGTTCTTTTCATTCCTAATTCAATTAGCATTGGTAAATTGACTTTTGTTGACTTTATGGAGTTTTAATCGGAATGAAAGAGTGTTTTTAAGGAAAATACTATTTTATCCTCCTGTACGGTCAAATTTTATCTGAATTTAGAAAACGCGTAAAAAAATTGATTAGCGCCTAACCCCAGACACTAGCTCCTGGAGCTAAGCTTGGCGCCTGGCACTAGCGTTAGCGTCTGGCGCTAACTTCGTTTTTTCATGTCGAAAATCGGGTTAGTTTTTCTATCTTTTTGGTTGATTTTCTCTTTAAATAGCCTCCTAAAACTTCGTTTTAATTATCTACAATCAACAATCATCATCAATTCTCAAGAATTCTCTAATCTCTTCTCTCTCAAAGCTTTCTTTCTCTCTTTTCCTAAACTAACCCTTTTGCCTACAAAATTCCGCATTCACAAGATCTAGACACACCTAGAATAGTTCGAAGTTGCGTTCGCCCTAGACGTGAAAGGTTTTAATTTCTGAAGTTTTGGTCCCAAATCCCTCTTTCAATTATTTCATTTAATTTAATTGTTTGTTTATTATTTTCCTTGAAGTTACTAACGTGTGTATTTTGTTATTAGAAAGAGATATGAGGCATCCAAGTAAGTGCTTTTATAGTTTTTATTGATATTATGATATAGAAATCATGCTTAGGTTGTTATTGTGATTCCTAGCGTCATGTTAGGGTGTTTTGATCTTCCTAGTATCATGTTTAGGGTAACAACTAAAAATGCTAATATCAAGTATGATTAAAAGTATGATGCCTTTTATATTCTTCCTAATATTTATGACTGTTAGTATCATGTTAGGGTTAAAATTTGATCTTTATTGTTTAGTGACATGCTAGGGTTTGTTATTAATCTTGTTAGTATCATGCATAGGATCTTGCTATTATTATGCTTTAACATGATTATTCTTATTATTATGATGATTATGATAATTATTATTTATTATTATGATGTTGCTTGATATTGATATTTATTGTTATTGCTTGATCACGCCTTTTATGCATGCTTAAAGGGAATTTGTACTTGTAATCACGCTTAATAAGATAATTAATAATATTGTTTAGGGTTGATTTGATTATAATTTACGTGATCGCCAATAATAGTTTATTTGTGCATTAATATTCAACCAACATAGATAAACAGGTTTAGGGTTAATCCTATTGATTGCATGTTAGTCAGAAAGTGCAAATGAGTACGATCAGAATAAAGTAGAGGCCTATTATTAGGGCAGGTTCAATCTCTTTTAGGTTGGATTTGTACCTTCATCCCCAAACTACCAGTCATGGTTCCAGACCTATTGGAGTAGACGATCTCTTGGATCGTTAAGGGGTGTAACCATCACCCTGTGAACGGTTACAAGTTCCTAAAACTTGTTGGCGACTCTTTTGCTTTATCTTCTTTCCTTTTCGACACCACCATACTTTAGTGTATGATCACAGTGGGGTTCAAGTTAGGGGTAATGCTTGAAATATTCCCTATAGTTTTTGGCGATTCCACTAGGGAGGATTTCTTTTTTAATTCCTGAAATTTATTTCGGCAATGATTTAGAATGAGTGGATGAGACTCTAAAAGTTCTAAGTATTTTATGTGTATAATTTTGATTAACATTATTGTCTTATGCATAAAAAAGATCTCATTGGAAAGACCATCCGTAATGAGTTAAAACATAGAATTTTTACACGTAGGAAATTTGAGGAATATCTTTCACAACTAGGATCGAAATAATGCTGCGCGAAATTGAAAAATTTTAACGAGCACAGAAAGCTGCTGAGGCATGTAGGAACTAGCGTCAGCGAACAAAGACTAGCGCCAACTTTTTGACGTTAGCGCCAGACGACGACTTCTGTTGCCAGGTGCTAAAGCCAAAAGGTGGCGCTGGACTCATTTTGCTGGTGCCAAGTTCTTCCAATACCGAGCCAGAAATATGCATTTTAATTTTGACCAGTTTTTAGCACTGTTTGCTCGATCCTACTTCCTGATTGAGTTTTTCTCACTTTTCT